CCAGGGGCACTCCACCACTGAGCCCCATCCCCAGTCCTATTTTTTATTTTGTCTAGAGACAAGGTCTCACTGAGTTGCTGAGGGCCTCACTAAGTTGCTGAGGCTGGCTTTGAACTCGAGATCCTCCTGCCTCAGCCTCCCAAGCTGCTGGGATTACAGGAGTGTGCCACGGCGCCTGGCTTACGTGTTTCAGGTTTTAACATTTTTTTATTTTTATTTTTTAAGGGGAAAGTCTTCCCTTTATAAAAGGACAAGAAAGGACTGGGGCTGGGGCTCAGTACTTGCTAGCATGTGTGAGGCACTGAGTTCGGTCCTCAGCACCACATAAAAATAAACAAATAAAATAAAGGTATAAAAAAAAATCTTAAAAAAAAAAAACCAGATGTGGTGGTTGCACACCTGTCATCCCAGCAGCTTTGAAGGCTGAGGCAGGAGGATCATGAGTTCAAAGCCAGCCTCAGCAACAGCAATGCCCTAAGCAACTCAGGGAGATCCTGTCTGTAAATAAAATAGAAAAAAGGGCTGGGGATGGGGCTCAGTGGTCCAGTGCCCCTGGGTTCAACCCCTGGTACCAACAAACAAACAAACTTCTTATGTTTTGGAGTATGAATTGACATCCCATCCACAGACAGGTCCTCCTGCCACTCCAGTTCTTGTTTGGACATAGTGACGATGGCAGGGTTGGCCTCAGAGAGCACCAGCCCCTGCTCCAGTAACATGAATCGCACCTCTTCATTCTGCTGAAGACCTGAATGTGTTACACGGTGCAGTTGTTATACAGGAGGTAGAAAATAGTAGGTGCTAAATAAACGTGTACCAAGTAGTCATTCTCTTTTGTCTTGACTCGGCCAGAATTTTGCAGAGATACCTGGGGTTTTTAGGATCCCTTTCACCCAGCGGTTCTTCCTTCTCCCAGGAACTCAAGGCCACCTTTGGAGATATATTTGGTGTCACACCTAGCATCTAGTGAGCGGGGTCAGGGATGCCGCTAAGCATCTTGGGATCTGCAGGACAGTCCCTGCGCCAAATGACTTTCCAGCTGGAAAGCTCAGAGGTACTGCGGGTCAGAAATCCTGCTCACATAGAAGGATTTCTGCCATAGCTTGTCAACAGTTCTCCAGATTCTTACTGAAGTATTACATTCTGTAAATTTCTCACCATAGAATCTGTAGGAGACAAGGTATAGACCTCAGTTCTGCTAGTCTCTGGATGGCATTATGTTCCTTATTTGGAAATGGCGTGGTGGCGAACGCCTATAATCCCAGCAGCTGGGGAGGCTAAGGCAGGAGGATCTCAAGTTTGAGGCCAGCCTCAGCAATATAGTGAGGCCCTAAGCAACTCGGTGAGACTCTGTCTCTGAATAAAATATAAAGCAGGCTAGGGATGGGCTCAGTGGTAAGTGTCCCTGGGTTCAATCCCTGATAGAAAAAAAAAATTTTTTTTCTTATTTGGGATGAGCAGAAGCAAAGGACATTAACAGCATCTCTGATTAGTTTTCGGTCCAGTCATCTGAAATCACAAGATAAATGTCTTTCCTTTCTAGCCTCATCTGTTATATTTATCATTTTCCACACTATTTTAAGAAGGCTGGGTTTTGCAGCTAGTGGAGCTTGTGAAACTAAACGCTTGTCTTCAAAATACTTCTCTCAAGTGGGAGGTGGCTTTTCGTTTGCATTATATTAAATCGAAGGCATTTCTCAGAAGAAATAGAATAACAAAGAGCATCACCTGAAGGGACCTCAGCAACCCCGAGATCATTGCTTCCCCAATGGAAGCGGGTCCCTCCGCCCTAACTAGCCTTTAGTATCCCCCTCGGCTCAGAGCAGGTGAACGGTCTCTGTGATTTCTCTTGATAGAAAAACGGGTTTAATCCAATCGCAGACAACTAATACCCTGTGAAACATCAGAATTTTTATTAGGAAAAGATATTTGGGGCTCAAATTTTTCTCATCTTACAGTATATTGAACAGCTCTTCAAAGTCACAAATAGCTTTGCAAATAACAGACTTGCAAAGACCTCATAATTTGAAATGTGAAACCCATTTCTTCCAAGCAGCACCATCCCATCAAACACCTTTAATAGCCATTCACCTTTTATTGGGCAAATTGAGACCCTTCAAATAACTTGAAAAGATATTCCCTCCCTGGAGAGCACTTCTCCTCTCCTTTCTTTTTTTCTTTTTTTTTTATTGGGGTCAGGGACACTCACCACGGAGCCTCATCCCCAGCCCTTTTTATATTTTATTTAGAGACAGGGCCTCACTGAGTTGCTCAGGGCCTCGCTAATTGGCTGAGGCTGGCCTTGAACTCCCGATCCTCCTGCCTCAGCCTCCCGAGCCACTAGGATTAAGGGCTTGTGTCACGGTGCCTGGCAAGTTTACCTCTTCACCCTTGGCATTCTGTAGGTTAGTGTCAGCTAGAGAACAGAGAAAAACTTCAGAAGAAGAGAGAATAACAGGAGGTGGGGAAGCCCTTCCATTTTCGGGAATTGGAACCATTTGTTTAACAGCGTTAATCATTTTTCTTTCAAAACAAATCACAGCAGTTTCAGGTTAATGCTTCCCGGAGAAGTTCACTGTGGATGAGTCAAGTGACCTTCAAACATGCCACGGGCCCTCCCTTCTGCAATTGGGGGGTTGAATCAGATCCTAGCATCAGCCGCTGCCGTGGTTGGTGGCAAGCCTTCCCAGGCCTGGGTGCCACCCAGGACCCTTACTGGTGTCAGAGAACAATCGGCTTCAGCAGGAAACCGCAAACAGGTTAACTTTGGAAAGCCCAGGGCCAGATTTAGCAGGAAGCAAGGTGTCACAAGAAACACAATAAGCTCCCGGCTCTGCCTTGGTGTGGGGACGCTGTGCTCAGGTGCTGGGGGCAGAAGGCCAACCCCTGCTGGAGTTTTCTGACAAACTCAAATACTTATGCTTTTGTTCTTAAACTGATTATTTAAACTCAATATTTCATTTTTATTATTATTTTTTTTTGGTACTACAGATTGAAGCCAGGGATGCTTAACCACTGAGCCCCATCCCCAGCCCTTTTTAATATTTTATTTAGAGACAGGGCCTCCCTGAGTTGCTTTGGGCCTCGCTAAGTTGTTGAGGCTGGCCTCAAACTTGTGATCCTCCTGCCTCAGCCTCCTAAGCCACTGGGATAACAGGTGTGCGCCACTGAAATCTTTACTGAAACAAGAAATGAACGATGACAGCCACAACCCTCAGGCTGCTGGAAAGAGCTTATTTCCTGCCAATATCCCAACACAAAACTACCTTGGATTCTCAGGCAGGAGTTTTCAGTGACTATTTCTAGTCTAAGAAAGATGATTTTCTTCTATGTAGTAAGAATCATAAAACCCAAGTGTCTGTAGGGCCTAGGAAAATCACATGAAATACATTTAATGAGGACTCAGGTGATTTAGGGACATCAACTTTTGTCTATAAATTAAAGCCTGCTCTCAACTCCCACCAGTGAGGTCTTTGCAGGAATAAGACCATAGATTCTCAAAATCTGATACAAATACAAACACACACATCATCAGATATTTCTACTTTCCAAGTACCATTAATTAATTAACTAAAATTAATCAGCACCTAATTACTTTTAAATCATAGTTTGCTGATTAATAAAGATAAATCCCACCTGTATGCCCAAGTTCATCTGCCAGTTTGTGAAGTTCAATAGAGAGGAAGAAAATGAGAAATCAGCAATAGAAAGAGATGCTAGACGTTTCCCTCTGTTGAAGTGATGAGTGGATTCTGGGGTCTTTCATGATTATGAAGGACTCTGTGAAAGCATCACCATATCTGAAATTCCTTTTTATTTTTGGTACCAGGGATTGAACCCAGGGGCGCTTAACCACTGAGCCCCATCCCCAGCCCTTTTTATTTTTTTATTTTGAGACAGGGTCTCATTGAGCTGCTGAGGGCTTCTCTGAGTTGCTGAGGCTTGGCCTCAAATCTGTGATCCTCCTGCCTCAGCCTCTCCCACTCAAATCACTGGGGTTACAGGCAAGCGGCACCTAAACTTTAGGCAGACCTAACGTTCCTGATTCATCATTTCAAAGCTGTTTAAACTTTCAAAGAGTCTGACATAAAGAGCCCCAGAGAATGAGGTTTCATGGGTCAGGAGAAAGTAACGGTCAAATACTTGAGATTCTGGCAAAGCTCACAAAGAAGATGGAGAAGACACTCAGGGTATGGACCTGCTTTTAAGCTAGCCTGGGGCTGTTAGATGAGAAAATTCCAAGAACCGGAAAAAAAAAAAAAGTGCAAAGCAAAATCTATATATTACTGAGAAAAATGCAGCAGGGCAGAGAGAAACCAAGTTCTTCTCATCAAGCCAATAATATTTACCGCCTCTGGGTAGTGCCCAAATATTTCAGGAAATGTCGATGTCTTTCTTTGCCAAGTCAGGCCAGACTGAATACTGAGACACAGCATATAGCACCAGGAAGAAGAACCAAATCAACACCTTCGCCTCCTCTTGTGCAAAGAATCTGAACAGGAAGATTCATGGCCAGGCCCCAGTGAGGTGGTGCATGCCCATAATCCTAGCAGCTCTGGAGGCTGAGGCAGGAGGGTCGCCTGTTCAAAGCCAGCCTCAGCAAAAGCCAGGCCCTCAACAACTCAGGGAGACCCTGTCTCTGAATCAAATGCAAACTAGGGCTGGGGATGGGGCTCCGTGGTTGAGAGCCCCTGAGTCAATCCCAGGGAGGAAGCAAGATGCATGGCCAGTGTCCCTTCTCTTTCCCCCACCGACTGTCACGACTGACTGTTGCAAAGCAGCGTGTCCCAGAGTCTCTAGATGATCTGGGAACGACAAAGAAGGAACCTGCAGTGGACCCCCGGGGCCCCACGTCACTTCCCTCCCTGTTTCCCTCTGACACCCCGACTCTTCTGGCCCCAGACGCTGGTCTGATGGATGAAGTGCACTCTGGCTCTGAACTGGGGTGAGGAAGGACGGCAGGACAGGGGCCAGGGCCACCCCCCCTCCGGGCACCGTACCTGCTCGGGCTTCAGCCCGGGGGGCACCCAGGCGTACTCCTCCAGGGCACAGCCCGAGTCGTCGTCCGACGTGGAGTTCCTCTGGAAGTCGAACATGAGTTTGCTGATGGTCTTCTCCATCTCCAGGGGCATCACCGTCACCATGTGCTCCTCCTGGGGACACTTGCAGTGCAGGCAGATCTTCCTGCGGGCGGTAAAAACAGGGTGGGTCAGAGGGAGGCTGAGAAACCGCCTGGTCAAGGTCCTGCCAGCCACCAGCCCCTGGATCCCACACAGCCCTGGGCCACAGGCTTCTGGGCACCCCTGCCCTGTGGAGGGCATGGCACACGCGTGTCATGGGAAAACAGCGAGGCACCCATGTTGAGGATGTTGACGCTGGGACCCCAGACTTCTCTTCTAAATCAGTAACCCAAGCTGGCCGCGGTGGTGCACACTGGTGATTGCAGTGTCTCAGGAGACTGAAGCAGGAGGATCACAAGGTGGAGGCCAGCCTCAACAACTTAGCAAGACCCTGTTTCAATGAAAAATAAAAAGGGGGGCTTGCAGTGGTAGCTCAGTGGCAGAGCGCTCACCTAGCATGTGTGAGGCACTGGGTTGGGTTCCATCCTCAGCACCACATAAAATAAATAAAATAAAGGTCTTATGTTCATCTACAACTAAAAAAAATAAAAAAATTAAAAAAAGTACATAAAAAGGGCTGAGGATGTATCTCAGAGGCAGGGTGCTCTTGGGTTCAATCCCCAGCACTGCCAAAAAAAAAAAAAGTAATAAAATAAAATAAAAATAAATCAATATCCCAAGAAGAACAGTAATATAATTTTCACTTTATTAACTCAACTGCTAGATATTGATCATGACCACAGTTTCCTCCACTGTTATACCAATGAAATATACGAAATAAATACCCTGACCAGAAACTACGAGTAAATTCAACAAACACTGACAACATACTGTTTTTATACTTATTTATTTATGTATATATTTTGGTACCAGGGATTGAACCCAGAGGCCTTGGCCACTGAGCCACATCCCCAGCCCTATTTTACCTTTTATTTAGAGACAGAGTCTCACTCATTTGCTTAAGGCCTCACTGAGTTGCTGAGGCTGGCTTTGAACTCCCGATCCTCCTGCCTCAGCCTCCTGAGCTGCTGGGATTACAGGCGTGTAACACCAAGCCCAGCAATAAACCCTTTTATTAAAAGGTTCCTAAAGCCACAAACAAAAAAATAGGAAGAAATGCTTTTAAAAAGATCCATGGATGAAATTTTCTTCAAGAAGAGCAAATGTATTTTTCCCCCACTAGACAAGCCCAACCCTGAGATCTCATGAGAAAAGCCTTTTTACCTCTATTAAAGGTCCCTGGTTTGAAATTCTAATTGGAACCCCAGATTTTCCTGTATGTTGGAAGTTTTTTATATATACAAGAAGATCATGCATCTGAATTATTTCAAAAGGTAGCAGCCAAAGATAAAAATCTCTCCCCCAAACTGAACATTTCTCTTTTAAGGTTACCATCTGTTCCCTTATCCATGGCTGCAGAAACGAAGAAGCAATCAAAACACCAAAGTCAGCGACAAAAGCATTTCTATTCCATGTGTCCTCTGATCCTTTCTCCTGGTTCCCTTAGCAATCTTCGTTTATAAAGGCAATGAGAGAGCTCAGGATTCTGGACCCCACCCAAGACTGAATTGTCTGACAACAGCTTCGTTAAGATGATCGCTTTGCTCACATGCACAGTTCATTAGCTCCTATTATATTCATGAAATCCTATGATCATTATCCATCTCCCAAAAAGCCGTGAGCTTTAACACTTCCAAAGCCCCCACTACCATGTTCTCTGATAGCCACTGATCTATTTTCTGTCTCTATCGCTTTTGCGATTCTTCCTGTAAATGAAACCACACAATATTGCATCCTTGGAAACTGGTTTCTTTCACCTAAAATGATGCTAAGGTGAATCCAAGTTGTAGCATGACTCAATCCCTCATTCCTCTTGATGGCTTAATAATATTCTTTTGTATGGACATACCACAATTCATGTTCACCAGCTGATGAATGTTTGGACTCTTTTGTCTTTTGTGAATAATGCTGCTCTGAATTTAGATACAAGATTTTTTTGTGTGTGTGTGGCTACATGGTTTCATTCCCCATGAGATGCAATATAGGGATGAGATGCTGGGTCATACCTCAGCTTATGTCAAACTGTTTTACAAAATATCTGCACCACTGCCTTTATCAACTTCAGTGAAGGAGGGTTCCATTTCCCCCTACATCCTTGACAAACTTGTTACTGTCTATCTTTTTGACTGTAGCCATCCTAGTGGGTATGAAGGTGTCTAATTGTAGTTTTGCATTTCCTTAATGGCTAATCAAGGTGAGCACCTTTTCATGGGCTTCTATATATCTTTTTATGGAAAAATATATCTATTTTCCCCCATTGGATTGGGTTCTGATTGTTGTGTTTTAAGTGGTCTTCATATGGTTTCCAGATACATTATTTACCAGATATACAATTTGCAGAATTTGTTTCCTCATTCTGTGGATTGGTCTTTTACTTTCTGTATTATACTCATTGAAGCATGAAAAATTTGAATTTTGATGAAGTCCAGTATTATGGTTGGATGTGGTGTCCCCAAAAGCTCATGTGTGAGACGGTGCAGGAAGGTCCAGAGGAGACATGACTGGGTGGTGAGAGCCTTAACCCAACCAGTGAATGGACCCCTGATGGGATTAACTGGGTGGTGGCTGGAGCAGGTGGGTGTGGCTGGAGGAGGGGGCATTGGGGGCGTGGCTTTGGGGTCTCTATTTGTCTCTGGAGAGTGGAGTCTCTCTCTGCTTCCTGATGACCATGTGAGCTGCTTCCCTCCACCACACTCTTCCTCCATGATGTCCTGCCTCCCCTTAAGCCCTGAGGAATGGAGCCTGCTGTCTGTGGACTGAGACCTCGGAAACTGTAAGCCATTAAATAAACTCTTCCTCCTCTACAGATGTTCTGGTCGGGTCTTTTAGTCACAGCAGTGAAAAAGCTGGCTAAAATACCCAGTTCAGTGTTTTTCTATTGCTCATACTTTGGTTTCATATCTAAGAAACCACTACCTGGGGCTGGGCTTGTAGCTCAGTGGTAGAGCACTCGCCTTGCATGTGGAAGGCACTGGGTTCGATACCCAGCACCAAATTAAGAAAAAAAAAATGGGGGCATTGAATCCATCTACAACTAAAAAATAAATTAAAAAAGAAACCACTTTCTAACCCATGATTATATTTTCATTGAGGAGTCTCATGCTGTTAGCTGTTCCACTGAGGTTGATGAGCACCTTTGGGCTAATTTGTGCTGTGGTATGAAGCTCAACTTCATTCCCACATAGCTACCCTGATGTCACAGTGCCATCTGTTGCAAAGACTATAGTCTTTCCCCGGTGAACTAGCTTGGCCCCTTCATCAAAAGACAATTTGACAAACGATTTCTTTCTGGATTCTCAATTCTATGCCACTGACCCCACATCAGTACCTCACTGTCTTGATTATTGGAGTTTTATAGTAAGTTTTGAAATCATGAAGTCTATGTTCTGCAACTTGTTTTACTGGAAAAAATGTTTGGGCTCTTCTGGGTCCCTTGCATCTGCACTCATAAAATGTGAATTTCAGAATTTCAGAATTAGTTTGCCAGTTTCTACAGAAACCCTAGCTGAGACTGTTGTGGAGACTGCAGTGACTCTGTAGGTCAATTAAGGATCACTGCCACTTCAACAATGCCATCTCTCAATCCATAAAGACTGGATGCCTTTCCATTTATTTATGTCTGCTTTAATTTCTTTCCATGATATTTGGTGCTTTTCAGGCACAAGCCTTGCACTTCTTCGGTTTAGTTTATTCCTGAGTATTTTATTCTTTTTTGATGTAATTGGAATTGTTTCTCTGATTTCATTTGCAGATGGTCAGTGCTTAGAACCAGATACGATTATCTGTACAGATGGTGTCTCTACAGTTCTGCAGAACTCCTTTGTGGGTTCTAACAGTGTGTTTGTTCTTTAGGATTTTTTATACACAAGACCATGTCAAATGTGAAGAGAGAGAGAGAGTTTTACTCCTTTCTAATCCGATGTCTTTTTTTTTTCTTATCTTATTACCTTGGCTGGAACCTACACAATACTGAACAGAAGTGGAGAGACTGCACACACCCATGTCTTTTTCCTGATCTTAAAGGAAACTTTCGAATCCTCGACAAATCCTATGTTAGCTGTAGGGTTTTTCTGTAGATGCCTTTTATCAGGCTGAGCATTTTTATCAGGAAAGGATATTGGATTTTGTTAAGTACTTTTTTTTGCATCTATTGAGATGATCCATTGATTTTTGTCCTTCCTCTAATAAATGTGTTATGCCTGAATTTTGACACAGAAATGTACTTAAGGAAACAGACTCAGTTTAACCCAGTCAAGTTAAGCTGTCAGATTCTCCTACCACGTGGGTCTCACCATACTGAAAAATACACAGACGGTATACACACCCCCAGATCTGGTTTGCATCTCCAAACTCAAAGAAGTTCCATCCAAACTCTGGAGGTTGCTTTTAAAAATAGTCAGAGCTCATTTTAGCAGAAAAATCTTTAATCAATCAGCTACTGAAGAGGTCAAGGGTGTTGTAAAGCATCAGGAACTCACCCCCTCCCTCCCCAGGAAATTTAATGCTAGTTTCTGTCATGGGGGGGGGCAGAATTTCAGTGTCTTCAATAAAATTTAGCAAGTTTTGTGGCGATGACCACTTTTTTCTAGAAACTCATAATTCAAAAACAAAACATAGGAACATTTTGTAAAAACCAAATTCAGATCCCAGAATTTCCACTGACGAAACTCATTTATTGGGCAATCCAGGGGAGAGCGTGACATTTAATCCTCGGTGGACATGACCCAGTGAATATAAGATGTAGAAGGGGTGGGGGGAACATGAACAAAACCTTGAACAAACCAGATTCAGAATACGCCTTGCTGTGTAAATGGGGAGAGTGCTAAGGTCTCCACTTGGTTCTTCAACAAATAACTATCAACTCTAGGCACCTGAGATTTCTAACAAAAACAAAGATCTCTGCCTCAGGGCACCTGAATTGATGGGGAGGCGCCATTCACAAGCAACAAATGTGACCAATCATTCCATCACATGATACTCTAAGGGTGGTAAGTACTATGGGGG